CTTTCTGTCCGGATAATCTGGATTTCCGGATGTCTAGATGTTCGGATATCTGTCCGTCCCGATTTCCGGATGTCCAGATGTCCAGATTTCCGGATGCCCAGATGTTCGGATATCTGTCTGTCCGGCTATTCGGATGTCCGGATGTCCATATATCTGCCTTTCCAGATTTCCGGATGTCCAGATGTTCGGATATCTGTCTGTCCGGATAGCTGTCTGTCCGGATAGCTGTCTCTCCGGATATCTGGATGTCCGGATGACCGGATGTCTGTCTGTTCGGATAGTTGTCTGTCCGAATTTCTGGATGTCCGGATGTTCGGATACCCGGATGTCCGGATATCTGTATGTCCGGATACCTGTCTGTCCGGATGACCAGATGCTCGGATATATGTCTGTCCAGTTAGCCGAACGCTTAGATGTCTCAATAGTTTCCTGTCCAAAAATCTGGATGTCCGGATGTCCAGAACCCCACATCTCGAGGGAGCCCCTCCCCAATACTTACCATAAGCCCAAACATCACTTTTCAACGAGTACAACTTGTCCTGCATCACCTCCGGTGCCAACCATTTCACTGGCACCTTCCCAAGGGTATCGTCATGCATTTCGGTACGTTTGTCATCGGATAAACCGAAATCCGAAATTTTTATTTGCTGCAAAAAATTTTTCCGGGGGGTGCCCTTTTTTCCCAAAAAATGAGAAAAAACTGACATCTGTCGCCGAGAGCAGGCAATTTCTGGCGGCAATATCCCGATGGAGGCACTGTTTCTTCTCCAAATACGCCAGACCATCGGCAGACTCAATGCAGAAACGAAGGCGTTCCGTCAGGGTGATTTTCGACTTGTTCTTGCGGAGATACGAGAGCAGGGAGCCGTCTGGAAAACAGTGTGTGGTGTTTGCGGACACGGCGCCATATGTTACGACAATTCAATATCCTCTTTGAACCCTCTACCCCTCCCCCCTCAGTTTCTAAGGCGCGCGCCGCAATCTATACGCCCTCCTCTCTTCGCCAGCGTGTTCCCTCCGTGGTGTAGCGGTTAGCGCTGCTGTTTTGTGAAATTCAGAGCGCGGGTTCAATTCCCGGTGGGGTCAAAACATTTTGCTTTTTTTCCAAAGCAAGATTTTGTGTCTAGACGGCTCATAGAGCCATGAAAGAGCACCAATGTTGAACCTGAAGCTCAAAAAGTCGAATTTCCAGGCCAAAACTCGAGTTTTCAGCTCGAAACTCAAATTTCGTGCACATAAATTAATTTTCGAGGGAGGTAGCGATTTTTGAACTCAGAAAATCGATTTCCGGGCCAAGAATATTCATCTTAGCGTTCAAAAACTAAGGTTCGGCCCAAAACGAAACTTACGAGGACACATCTCCATAACAATCATCAGCGGGTGGGCGTGGACGGCGAGACCTGCAATTGGATACTTTGAATACAGGAAGGCGGTGCTGCGCTTTTAAGGCAACTTTTCTCCTCAGGGGCACCCCCATTTCGCTAGAATCTCCATCGTTTATTTTCAAATATTTTCATGTGGTCACCATCATCATCATGTGACCCTGTGCTGGTCAGCCATCACTAATAGTTTATGATTTTCAATCTTTTCCCCCAAAACACGTGGTTCTGCTACTGGCTATCATCAAAAAGTCCAAACAAATCAGGAAAAGCGAGAGAGAGAGAGAGAAGAGTCTAGGGAGGGGGCGGAGTTATGGCCCCAGGGTGAAACTCGAACTCTGAGGTCTGCGCGTCATCAAAAGAGTTGAAAATATAGCACAACCAGACATCCGGATACCCGGACAGACAGATATTCTGATACCTGGACATCTGGACATCCAGATTTCCTGACAGATCAATATCAGGACAATTGGACATCTCGGCGGACAAACACCCAAACATCTGGTTTTACAGATATATAGAAAAATTCAAATCTGGACATCCGGACGTTCGGACAGACGGACATTCTGACAGACGAACATGCAGACGTCCGGAAACCCAGATATCCATAGACGCACCATGTCTTGCCTACTAATGAGGAGTCCCCCACGATCCCAACATCCGCACGAATGTCCGGACAGACAGACACCCGGACACTCACCAATAATCCGAACAATATGCGGATGTAAATACTTTCTCATCAACCTGGCCTCCTTCATAAACGCCGCACGGGTCTCCCGTGTCATCTGACATCTCATCGTCTTCACCGCCGTCTCCACTCGTTGACCGCCGATCTCGCATTCCGCCAAGGATACCTGTAACGAAGGTTTTCTGCAATCTGACGTGATGGTGTTCGCGGACCAGGCTACCCCCGTCCTCTTTGTCTCCTTGGGCGCGCATCGTCATATGCAGGCCCTCTGCCACTCTGCTGTCGCGTCACCCGCTGGCCTACTGGTTAGCGCTGTCGTTTTAGAATTTCGTGACCTGGGTTCGAATCCGAGTGGGGTTAATTTATTTTTTTTTTCTTTTTTGTATCTGTCAGAATGTTCAGCTGAACACTTTCTGGACAAGTAGGAAACCAGAGACGCAGAGAAACGAGATATCTCTCGCCGCCAAAAAGGGCACCCTAACTTTGAAGCTCTGTATCTCGAGAACCAGTATAGCTAGAAGATTGGTTCAAGAGACTGATATGTGTAGAATTTTATGTAGATCAAAATTGCAGTTGACAACTTTTTGATAGAATTTCTAGTTTCCGAGATAATTCGGTTTTCTAAAAAGAGCAATTACAAAATTGATCAAGCTGATTGCTCCAGTCAAACTCTTGTCAAAAATTGGTTCCTAAACCATCCGAAACCGTCACTCTTGAGACGAGTCTCCTCTTCCCACTTAGAGAGATACGCAGAGAAACAGACTGTCTGCATGTCTGCCACCCTCTTCCTCCCCACCCCCCTCTCTGCCGCCGAAAAGGGCACCTTAACTTTGAAACCCTGTATCTCAAGAACTAAAAGAGCTAGAAAATTGGTTCAAGAGACAAATATGTGTAAAATTTCTTGTAGATCAAATTTGTAGTTGACAACTTTTCTATAGGAATTCTAGTTTTCGAGATATTTCAAATTCTCTGAAACCAACCTCCCCGAACGCTCCCTCGCCGAGCTTCTTGATAAAAACGACACTCTCGTGATCGATGATCCAATCCGGTTTTCCGATCGGTGACTTCAATTTGACACCGGAGACTTTGGTCACCGGGATTCCATTCGTCCTTAAAAATGGAGAGTAGGACAAAAGGATTAAATAATTTATATGAAAAGTTTGCTCTTTGTACAAAATAAAGGGCTTCTGAGATCAAATTCCGACTGATTTTTGGATCTTATTGAGCCTTCCCAATCACTTTTCACTATTTAGAACTTGAAAATGTCAATTTTAAGCTGAGATATGTTGAACTTCGTGAAATTGCTCAGAATAAAATTTCCTAGTTTTCTAACTATAACTCAACTAAAAATGAAGATTTCGAGTTGATTTTGGCAGCAATTTGTAGGGAATTCGAAGGCGCATCTGATCGTATGAAATTCGAAGAGTAGCATAAAAATAGTTCCGTGGCCTAACTTTTCCAAAAATTGGTTTTCTAGGCCACCATACCGAATTGGGGTGAAACTAGTTCCAAACGGGTTCTCCATCAATTCCCAGTTTTCAGAATTCAAAAATATTGATTTCCAGCCAAGTTACGCCAAATTTCGTGCTATTGCTCAGAATAAAACTCACATATGCCACTGAATCAATTGCTCCACCGTCTTCTCCTTATGCCCCTCAAACCAAACAGTGCCTGCTGGATCAGTGTTCACGGCGAAGTTGTGAAGTTTTCCATCGTAACGAACCGAGAGGATCATGGACATTTTGCCTGAAACTCGGAGGGGAAACTGCGCTCCACTGTAACGAGGGGTGGCGGGAATTTGAAATTTTCTTTCGATTTACTAAGGAAAGCGCGAAAAATACTGAAAAAAAAGGAAAAAAATCGTAGAAAAATGCCGAAAAACACCGGGAAAAAAACAGTTTTCTCATCAGAGCGCATTCCCATCAGTGCAGTAGAGCGCACTTACCCTGCACCTCCGACGCTCTCAACAAAAACGATCCGTGCTTCACAAGCAACTCTTCGGCGTCCTGTCGCTGCAAAACTCCATGGAACCAATCGATATTCGTTCGTTCCGAGGTGGTGGTCTCCGTGGATACCGTATCCGTTGTGGTCGCATTCAATGACATCTACAGTAATCCCACAGAAATTCAAAGGGACAGGTGTGCTTACGTTCTCAAGTAGAGACTTTCTTTTCGATTGAATATTTTGCCGAAAAAATGTTGAAAATAATCGATAATTTGTTGAGAATTTTGTTTCATTTAAATTCCACGTGGCCTACGTTTTTTCCGTGTTTTTGGAATGTTTTTCCCGTGAAAAATCCGGGAAAATCCAGGGAAAAGAAAACCCGGAGAAATCTCCAAAAATTCCGGAAAACCCCGTTTTTGCAATGTAAAACAACCGCCAAATCAGGTGTACACACTTTATTCAGAGAGACATAGAGGGATTATAGAGAGTGAAAATGTATGTACAAAAAAAGAAGCGCCAAATTTGAAAAATTCCTAATTTTTTTAAAATTTTGATTGGTTTTTTAGATCTTTTCCCACCCGAAACAGTTTCAAAATCATTCAAAACAACATTTTTTATGTATCGAATTTTCGTCATCGAGAGTAGAGCAGGAGGGTTTTTATGAAAGAAATCAAAAGTGGTTATACAAAAGAAGAAACGAGCATTATTTTGTGTGTGATGAATGAAATTGATCGTGTTTGGAGCGGGAAAAAACGACAATAATTGTGTGTAAATTTTTATAAGAAAAGCGAGGATGTAGAGAGTGGAGGGTGACAGAAAAATATACACTATAGAACCTTGTTGTGCTTCGAAATCTGTCGGTGGGTTGCAGATTTTTCAGTTAGACTGAAAAAAGAACCCGCTTTCTCAGAACAACAAGACCCTATATTAGACTTTAGTGGAAAAAAATAGGAGCAAATT